GCAGCAACCTCTTCATGCTATATGAGTAGGAGTATTTCAACGGATGACGAAGACGATGATTCTGACGACGATTCCGATGGTTCGAACGACGATGCGTTGAGCACTGAGATTGAGAGGGACGATGACGAGGACAACGATCGAACACCGGTGGTTTCACGAGAGAACTCCAATGTACAAACCAAGAATCGTCCAACGAATCTGATCGCGCAGTGGAAGAGTGCGAGTAAAGAGCGCTACATGAAGAAGACAAACAAAAGCAGTCATCATTCAGATGAGAAGTTGGTGAATCGCTATCAAAACCACCACATGACACACGCTCGTAATCACGATCAAAAAGCAGCGTCGGGTTTACTGAAACGTCGTGAGACGGTTGGTGCATGTGACACAACAAATGCGTCGTCGTCTTCTTCATTCAACACACGAATCTCTGAGCAGCAGCAATCAACTCGGTCGCAGTTCACCGCAGCGCGACCACTCAATTCAATCACTTCATTTTCATCGAACGCATTGTCGGCAGTATCTTCAGAATGCGCCAGTGCGATTTCTTCAAGACATTCAGAGATAGAGTTGCCCACCACCACAGCTCAGCTTCAACCGAGTCGTCCATCAGATTGCACCACGATCCCTGCAACACTAACATCGTCATCGTCAACACCTTCAATTCTGATAGCCGTCGGCAACACGAAGAACCATCGTCCTCTCGGTATTGCATCATCGATGCGCAATGGCAGTCCGATAACGTCGACACGCAAACAATATTTGACATCGTCAAGCAATGCTATCGCAAATGCTCCGTCAAATTCATCTTTAAACGCAAACCCTACGAATACTAGTCCAACAGTTACTAGTGCTACTATATTTCCAGTGAGCACTGGAAATGTTGTTGATGAGACTAGTGGCAGAAAGCTTGATAAAATTGCATCACCGAACGACCGAAGTCGTACAAATCTATCAGCAGCAACAACGATCGACTCAAATCTCGAGCGTCTGCAGCAGTCCAAACCACTTCCAGCTCCACCGGCATCGCCGCCAATCGTTTCTGATCGACGCTTCTGCGCCAGTGTCAGCAACAGTTATCGCAAAGACCTCGTCGCACAAATGTCGCCTTCTGACGGCAGTCAGAGTCCGTTGATCATTCGAAAAGCTTCTACTGTAAGCATCACACCGTCGGTGCATTCAGAAGCGAGTTTAGTATCGTCTCCAACGCCAAGACGAAAAATTTCTGCAACAACGAAAACTGGCAACAGTGTCAATGCGAGTAGATCGTTCGAATCAGCAGATATGCAGTCGTCGATCAAATCAGATGCAAACAAATATGCTGCTGCCGATAAAAGTGCGTCAAAGATTTTTGAAACGTTCTTGAAACGATCGCCAGATGAGAAGTTCAACAACAACAGCAATAACAGCAGCGATCTCTCTGAAACGAGAGAGTCCTTCGAGAGTCGGAATGAGGATCGCAATCTGCAGATGCCACTAATCTCAAGCACACCAACACCATACAGCAGCTATCGTCTTGAAGCATCTAACAGTCAACAACAACCCCAGCAAAGCAAATGTGATTCAACAGTAAAACAGCAACCTTTGCATGAGAGTCCTCCAACAGAAACTGATGCTAGTAAATCATTCTTCAGATCAATTTCAACTCAACAACAACACTTCGACAAGAACTCACCAGCTCTGCCACGTCCCACATCTTTAGTCTCGAATCTTGGCAGTAACAATTATAAGCAATCGCATACGAACACCTTCCAAACATCACCGTTACGGCAGCAGCCAACTCGATGGTCAAGTAAAACGATCGCACAAAACACTCAAAGTAATAGCAGTACGAGTAGTAGCAATAGTAACACAAGCAGTAACACCAGTGGTATTGGCAGTAACCCGAGCAATAACAGTTCTCCGAGTTATACGCCGCATCTCCTCCAGGATAACGACTGGAGCGTTGTGACCAGCTCACGACCATTATACAGCAGTTATTCGCCATTAACACAACTTATCAGCCAGCCGCCAACGAAGCCT